CGGGGGCGGGGAATGTAAAACCCGCCCCCGCCCCGTTGCCATGCCTAGTCCTTACAAAGTTTATAATTCTTTTAAAATAATTCTTGTCACTACTTCGCGATGTATGTCATGTCATATGTCACCTTGGAATAATTACTAATGTACCATGGCTAGATGCAAAACAGGTACCACTAAATAGTTGAAAGAAATATTAACATTAACATGAATCAAAACCAACGAAAAAGAAATGTCAAAAGGACTAAATTAAATGTAGCCACGTGTAGAGACTAAAAACAAACTTAAGCTAAATAATGTCTAAATAACCTGAATCCTATCCACCCCAGCGAGAATTTAAACAAATACCTATCAACAGCCTCAGCTTTCCTTCTTATTTCAGCTGACAAGAGTACAGGGTTGACATGTTTTGGAAGTGAGCTCTGCTGCTGCTGCTTCTCCCTAAACCACTTCTCAGCTTCGGCACATTCATTTATAACCTACAAACATAAAAATAAAAATGGTGTCAGCTTTATTGACAACCATTCAAAGAAACAAGGGAAAGAAAATTGACAAGCAATTACCTTATGTTTCTCGCTAATGTCAATGTGATCAAATTTGGGATCTTTCGACATTGCAGCTTCTTTGTAACTATTTACACAATAGATGAACTGTTCAATTATAGTACCCCTCTCCATGTATTCTTTGTAACGCCCTTCAATTGGATCACCTTGCTGCAATCGCATAAATAAATGTCCATTAAGATTGCTTATGTTAAAACTAACATGGTATTACCTCACACCATTTATGTTTTGCATAAAAAACACAAAGGGTAACAGCCACAGGGACTTGATCTCTTTTTTTTTAGTAGTCTTACAGATTGACCGAGGAATAGGAGCTAGGATTCTATTATCCCCAAAATTTCATACCCTTTTTAGTTCTTCAAGCTTGGCAATATATACACCTTTAGTTTCATCTTCACCGTCTTCATAAAGCCAATCTTCTACTTGCTGAAGTTTGGTGGTAAAATCTTCTCTCTCTTGAGCAGTGACAAACTCTTGGTATTTGTCGTTAAGCTGAAAAGATAACGGGAAAAAAACAATTATTATTACATATGACAAGAATTTCTAGTTGATGTTATCCCTCGGTAATAGAAGAAGAAAGATAACACCCACCTTATTTCTCATGTCATAAACATAAGCCTCAACTGCGTTTTTCTTGTCTTTTGTTTCTTCCATCACACGATCTTGCAAAGCCATTTCAAACTCCTTCTCTAGTGCTTTCTGGACATCCACAGGCACCATTGCTCCATAAACTAACTCTGCTACAGGAATGTTTGTTTTCTTAACCTTTTTCTTTGGAGCCTGAACCAACAACATTAGAAGCCCAGTCAACCAAATTATAAATATCACTTAACCATGCTGAACGACTCTAATTGAAGCACAAAAACCAAGAAGCAGAGTACATAATATGGATACATCATTTTACATGACTGACAGTATATGCATGGAAAAATGAGGACTACTCCTTATTCAAATAATTACAAAAAATACATATTGTCTTCACTTTTATACAGTTCTAGAAAATTTGTATAGTAAAAATACGTTTTAACTATTTCTTATTCAAATCTTTTAATAAAAAAAATGTGTTGTTTATTAAGGTTAAATTATTCCTTTCGTCCCTAGAGTTGTCCACATTTTAATTTTAGTCTCTACACGATATACATAAATATAAGTTTAAGTTTTAGGCCCTATAGCTAACATCAGAGAATATTTTTGGCGGTGTAAAACTACCACAAATTTCTTTTGGCAGTGATAAATCACCACAAAAAACTGTGTAGGGACTAAAGCATAAAATGGAAACCATTACAGGGGCTAACCGAACAATTAAAGCTTTTTTAATTATAAATAAATAAAAAACAAAAATAGAAAACATTTTTTCAAACCCAACAAGCCCTAAGATTCATATTTAATCTGAAGCAGGAAATCAAGCAAGTTAAATCAAGAACAGTAAGTTGCAAACACAGAAATACCACTCCACATTAAAACTCAACAAGTTCATATTTACAAATTTTTTCAGAAAACAGGGTTTTTCCATTTGTTTAAACAACTTGAACTATGATACTATCATATAACTTATCATAACACCATAAAGCCAAAAAAGCATAAAACCTTAGCAGGCTTAAAAAATATAGCAAAAATAAATATTACCCAGAAAAAAAAAAACACTGTCATAAAGAAATGAAAAGACATTTTGAGCACGTGCTTTTTCAACAGTACTAACCTTGGTATCAGTATCTGTTTGCAAAGGCTTATCTCCACTCTCAGGGATACCATTTTCAACCCCAGGAGCATCAGTACTAGTCTTTGCATCTTGCATATTAGCACCAGTGTCATTGGAAGCAGGAGGTGCAGCAGCATCAGCAGGAGCTTCATCAATGTCCATCTTAGCATTTCCCCCTGCTGTTTCTTTGGAAACTGGAACCTCAACTTCTTCCTCTTCCAAGAGCTAAAGAAAAAAACAAGAAGTTGTTAGATCACATGAACAAATGATCTCTGTTCACAACCGTAAGTTCACAAGTGAGTTATTGTAGGCGAGGGAAGGGGATCCCTAAAGTCAGAAATAACTTACCGTTGCAGACTCAACAGATACAATACCATGCAGATTCAAACGAACTTTCACCTTAACCTTTGCCCTTTCACTGATTGTAGTTTGGAATGGACCAATCTGCATTCACCCAAAAGAGTCATAGCACTGCCAACAACAAAAATAATGTAACAAAGAAAGAAAAAACTTGGAAAATGACTTACAGTATATGTGCTGATCCTAGCAGGTGTTTGCGTCGCACTCACATCACCATATTGAAAATCAACAGAAAATGTTCCTGACCTGTAGAATGTCAATGCCTTCATACTTGGTATGGGATTACCCTTGGGAAAAACAAGGGAACTCTGCTGATTTTCTGGTCCATTGTCCTGTGCATCTGTACCAGAACCTTTCCATGAAAGAGCAATTGAGAAAGGAAGACTATCGTTGACCTTCAAATTATTAAAAAAAAAAAATCATACCACACGCAAAGCTTAGTATATGAACAATTCACAGCAAAGACAATTGACAGATATGAAATTGATGAGTGAAATTCCTAAAGGCCCAAAAACAAGTAGATATAACAAATATGTAATTAAAATAGCATCATACTTATTAAAATTCAAAAACCATAACTCCTAAAGGTGAGCAAAGTTTTGCGAGAAGGTAGACAGTAACCAAAAGAGCTTACAAAAAAGACAGTGCCATATGAGTGCCCTTCGGAGTTGAAACTTTAAATGAAATAGAGAACAATCCAATTCAAGAAACTTTACCTGGAATTCTCGCACTTTGAAAGTTGGACTAAGAATTGCACATTCCAATGCACAACCCTTAGCAACACACTCACTAGCATTCATTGTCCGCCTAGGCTCCTTTTTGAAAAAATCTGTCAATATTTTGTTAATGGCCGGTACACGAGAACCTGAACCAACCACCTCAACCATGTGTACATTTTCAATGGTAAGACCTGCTTCCGCAACTGCCTTCTCCAAAGGTCCCCTCACACGTTCCAAAATTGGAAGACTTAGTCTCTCAAATTCATCTCGCTTGATGAAACCCTTGACATCCTTCTCGTCCATCAAGCACTCAATGGTGAGAGGTGCCTCAGCATTTGCACTAAGCATCTTCTTCATCTTCGCACAAGCAGCCCTGAGCCTTATGCAAGCCCTGGCATTCTGGAAAACATCAATCTTGTACTCCTCCTTGAACTTCCCAGCAAAGTGATGGAACAAAACCTCGTCAAAATCCCTACCGCCCAAAGACCGATCGAAAGAATGAGCCAACACTTTCAGCTGTCCCTTTTTGAAGCCAGCAATGCACACCTGCATGCTAGAATGCCCAACATCAACAAACGCAACATTCAGCTGATCACTCTCCGGAAGGTCCGTTTTATAAATCCCATAGGCCAAGGCAGTGGCAGTCATTTCATGAATTAACCGAAGCGGGTGCAGGCCAGCAATCGTGGCCGCATCCAACACAGCCCTTCTCTCAAGATCAGTAAAATAAACCGGGATTCCAATGCAACAATCAACGACAGCCGCACAGAGATTCTTCTGCGCAATTTCCTTAAGATTCGACAGCATCATCCCAAACACTTGGGTAGGCGTAAAAGTCTTCGCCTCACCCAAGTAGCGCGCATGAATCAGCGGGTATCCATCATTACCCTCAGTAACAACAAATGGCAATGACTTAAGATACCTCTGAAATTCAGGATCAGCGAATTTCCTCCCAACGAGTCTCTTAATCTGTGAAATCGAATTCTTAGGGTTCATCATAGTGGAAGCAGCACCAGCAGTGCCAATGAAGCGTTGCTTCTCACCAAAGCACACAACAGCCGGCGTTTCACGCTTGGACTCATCATTGAGCACAACATCAATCCCTCTCTGCCTCGCAACCGCCACAATGCAACTCTCGTTACCGAAATCGAAACCCACCACGCTCATTTTCACCGCTCAAAATTCCACCGGAATCAAAAAAACAAATCTGAAAAAAAAAATCAGCAAAACAATCGCGGTTACCACAAAAAAGCGCGCAAAAGTAATAAACTAAACGACAACAAAATAATTTTAAAATAGAACAGTAATTTAATTTAATAATAACAGATAGCAAAATACATAAAGCAAATCGACATTTAAAAATAACAACAAAGGAAGAGGCGATCCGTCATGCATGAATAGAAGGTGAAAAGTGAAAAGCGAACCGATCCAAAATTGGATGGCAATGAAAAGGTAACAAGTGTAAGATCTGAAACGGTGAAGGGATAGGGTTTTACCTGGCGTAGCGATCGGCGAGGGAGGAAATGGGTTTTTCTGTGATTCGAAGGAAGAGAATTTGTATGAATCACCCCTCAACAGAGAAAAGATTGGTGGGGCTGCTAAGGAATTTTGGAGTTTTAGGTTTTAAATTTCCCTGACGAAATTTCTCAATAAAAATACATGACGTGGCACCACCAAATGAAACACACCAGAGAAACAACTACGTTAGGTGGGTCCCGCTCCTACTCTAGTCGTACGGTGTTCCTATGCTTCTAGAAACATCTTCTCCTTTCGTCCTGCCTTTTTGTTTTCGTTAAATAAATTAACAAAAAATTATACTATTTAGAAATGAATAGGATATGAAATTTATAATAATAATAATAATAATAATAAAATTTGATAAAAGTAAATAGTGAATTTAACATCTTACTAAAAATATATAATGCGTAATTACTACAGCACAAGATAGTGTATTAATTTTTGTGTTTCTTTAAGCATATTTTTATAACTAAATTTGTGTGAGTACCACAGGATAAAATTTTGAATACAAACTTGTCTATGATTGTATTTTAATTTTAATAAAAAAAATTATATGAAAGATATTTAAAATACATCTAATTGTATCATTTTCTAAAAAGTAATATGAAAAGAAAATACATGTATAAAAGGAGTTATTGTACAAAAAGAAAAAAAGAAAGAAAAAATAAATGGGGGAGAGAACATGTTCATCCATAGATACAAAATAAATTATTATATATATATATAATATTGTTAATTGTTGAAACTGTGAGACCCCCTTTTTCCTTTTTCCTTTTCCTATTCTCTCTCCGACTCTCTTTTCTCACTCACTCTCTTCTTTCCTTTGCTTGCCTTGGTCTCAATTCTCTGGATTCTTTGGGGTGTCTAGGTGCTGATTAAAGATGCTTGAGTGTGCCGGACGGATTCCCTTTCTTCCACGTTGAGATTCTTCTCCTTCTTCCTTGTCATTTCCCAAAGCTCGGAGCCGTTGAACCGAGGTAAGGGAAGCTAGTTTTGTTTGCCGTTTTTGGTTGAGAATGAGTCTTAGAAACTCATTAGCTGGTTGTTGATGAATAATTTTTGCCTGAGATCGAAGAGGATTCGTTTTCGGGTTTTCGGGGTTTAGGGTGAAATTTTAGGTTTTCTTGATTTAATGGTTGCATGCTAAAAATGAGGGGTTTTTCGTGATGTTTGATGAAAATGTGGCACTTTTGATGGTTTGCATGTGGAATTCCTGTTGATTTATGCAGGTTTTGAGCAAAAATTTCGAAGTTGGAGAGTTTCTAATTGAGAGCACGCTGGGCGTTGTTCTTGGCGTCGGGCGTGTAACAAACAAAGGGCTTCATTGGTCGAGCACGCCAGGTGCGGAGTTGTGTGCGCCGGGCGAGCTTGAAGATGGATGCCCCTGGATGGCTCACGCCGGGCGTGGTTGGACCATGCAGGGCGCGCTATCAGTCAGTGACCCACTTTTTTTTGGTTTCTGGTGTGGTGCCGGGCGTGACTATGTCTCGCCGGGCGTGGAGGCTCCTTGGGAGTCTCTGCCAGAGGTGGTGCCAGGCGCAATCTATATTGCGCCGAGCGTGAGACCCTAGGAAGGTCTCTGCTTTCTTGCGCCGAGCGCGGGATTAGCACGCTGGGCTTATGAGACCATGAGTGCGTCGGGCGCGTATGATGATGTTGAACTATATGTTGATAGTTGTTGAATTATGCTGTAATTGCTGAGCTGAGATGTAATTGATGAATATGCTGTGCTGACTAGATGGTCATGCTGAATAATGATGTTAAGCTGTTATAGATGTATATTATCGTGCTGAGCCGTGCTGTAAGCCGTTATTGTTGTATGATGAATTGTTGTGCTGTGTTGTATGCTGATATAAACTGTTGTAGGCCATAAAGCTGAGCTGTTGTAGGCCGTAAGGCTAAGCTGTTGTAGGCCGTAAGGCTGAGCTGTTGTAGGCCGTAAGGCTGAGCTGTTGTAGGCCGTAAGGCTGAGCTGTTGTAGGCCGTAAGGCTGAGCTGTTGTAGGAGATCTCCGAGCTGATATGCGTGACGACACATTGTGTGCTTATTGTTGTTTATGCTTTATAGTTGATGAGATGTATGCCGATGATGTGCTAATAGTTGTAACTGTTCATATTTCTTATATATGCTTTATATGCTGATTCTTTTCACTAGCTTACCCTTTGTTGTTTCCATGTGTTTGGACTGCGATGATCATACGTTGTATGGGAGTAGAGCAGGGTTAGGTTGGTGATTGTGGCAGGTCTGCAGCTGGCAGATAGAGTTGACTTTGCTTTTGTTGTTTGATGTTTTGGGCCACTATTTTGGCTACTTTGGGTTGTACTTATACTCTGATGTCTAGCTCAGATTGGACCTTGTGTATATATTTATATACTTGCTCTTATCTGTGTGTATGCCGTGATGTCGGGTAGTGTGTAGTGACTAGCCGGGTCGTTACACTTTAGTGGTATCAGAGCAGTTCGAGTCTAGTGGACACTCTTTGGGGGTGGTTCCTTTAGGCTTTTGTTGTGCTGAACTCTGTGTTGTGCTGATTTCTTGTTGTTTGTTGTGTTGTTGATTATTGTTTGGTTTAGTTATTGTATATTGAAGATGCTGTTACTTTTGTAGACAATGTTTAGAACCAATGAGCAGATAGCCCGTGCCATGAAGATGATAGCTATGGCTATGCAGCAGCAAAATGCCTATTTTGCTCGGATGGATGCTGTTGATAGAGCTGCAGCTGGTGCAGCAAGGCCCACAGGGTCACAGGAGAGCCGAGATCTTGCTGAGTTTCGGAAATGCCATCCTCCACAGTTTAAGGGAGATGCAGATCCGGAGGTAGTTGACCACTGGATCTGTGAACTTGAGAAGATCTTCACTGTGCTAGGATGTTCTCAGGAGAAGAGGCTGGCATACGCTATTTATATGCTTGTTGGAGAGGCTAAGCATTGGTGAAGGGGTACTCACCATATGCTTACTGCTAGAGGAGTTACAGTTGACTGGGAGTGCTTCAAGGCAGTGTTCTTGGAGAAGTACTTCCCGGAGAGCGTGAGGCACGCCAAGGAGGCTGAGTTCATGCGGTTACACCAGGGTGGGCTGTCTGTATCGGAGTATGCGATGAGATTTGAGCACCTGGCTCGTTTCTATTCGCAAGCTATATCTGAGGCCTGGAAATGCAGGAAGTTTGCTGAGGATCTGAAATATGAGCTGAAGAAAGTGGTAACCGTGTGACTAGAGCTGCTGAGGGACCAGCTGGGTCCAAGAAGGGAGGAAATCAGAGGAAGCCATATGATAGGCCCCAACCACACCAAGGGGGTCCTGTCATTAGGCAACCTGCTGATGCTACTAGAGGAGGGAGACAGGGTGGAGGTGTTGCCCTTAGATGCTACAAGTGTGTTGGGCCCCATTTGATCAAGGATTGTCCACACACAGAGAGTTGGTGTTTCAGGTGTCAACAGATGGGCCATGAGTCATTCAACTGCCCCACCAGAAACAGACCGGAAAGGGGTGCTCAGAGGAGTGATGTGCAGAGAGGTGATGCCCAAAGGGGTGACAGACCCACTACAACTGGTAGGGTATTCGCCTTGACGGGTGCTGAGGCTTCGATTTCTTTTGACCTTGTTAAGGGGAAGGGCAAAGCTACTGGTAAAGATGTGACGTTTTTGTTTGATTCTGGAGCTCTCCACTCCTTTATTTCCTATGCTTGTGCTGCTATGCTGGGTGTGCATGTGTGTTAATTGGGGTTGAGACTGCTAGTGTCGACGCCCGCTTCTGCTTCGGTAGTTGCATCTGAGCTGTGTGTTGGTTGTCCTATTGTTGTGAATGGGATGAGGTATAAGTTGAACTTGATTTGTTTGCCTTTGGTTGATATTGACATAATCTTAGGGATGGATTGGTTGTCTGCCAATCGCATCCTTATAGATTGTGCCAATAGGCAGTTGATCTTTCCTCAGGTGGAGGATGAGCTGTTGATTTCAGTTGGCCAAGCTGAATCATTGCTGAGAGATGGAGCACAGTCTTGTCTTCTGCTTGCTGCTATGAATGTGGAGACCGAAAGGGTCATTGCTGAGATTGATGTGGTGAGGGATTTTGCTGAGGTGTTCCCTGATGAGGTGCCTGGGTTGCCTCCTGTTAGGGAGATGGAGTTTAGCATTGACTTGGTTCCAGGTGCGGGGCCAGTGTTGGTGGCTCCCTATAGGATGGCTCCTGCTGAGTTGGTTGAGCTGAAAGGTCAGTTAGAGGACCTGTTAGAGAAGCAATTGGTGCGGTCGAGTGTTTCGCCGTGGGGTGCTCCTGTGTTGTTGGTGAAAAAGAAGGATGGAGGTAGTCGACTGTGTGTTGATTACCGACAGTTGAACAAGTTGACCATTAAGAACAAATATCCACTTCCTCGGATAGATGACTTAATGGATCAACTGAGGGGAGCATTCGTTTTCTCGAAGATTGACTTGAGGTCAGGTTATCACCAGATTAGGGTGAAGGAGGGTGACATACCGAAGACTGCTTTCAGGACTAGGTATGGTCACTATGAATATGTTGTGATGCCGTTTGGTGTGACCAACGCCCCTGTAGTGTTCATGGATTACATGAACAGGATCTTCCGGCCTTTCTTGGATAAATTTGTGGTGGTGTTCATTGACGACATCCTGATTTATTCAAGGACCCCGGAAGAGCATGGAGAGCACTTGAGGTTAGTGCTGGAGATTTTGAAGGCGAAGCAGCTGTACGCTAAGCTTTCAAAATGTGAGTTCTGGTTGGATGAAGTGAAGTTCTTGGGCCATGTGATCTCAGCTGAGGGGATTGTTGTTGATCCGGCTAAGGTGGAGTCGATGTTGCAGTGGGAACGTCCAAGAACTGTCACTAACATTCGGAGCTTTGTGGGTTTGGCGGGTTACTATAGGAGGTTCATTGAGGGATTCTCCGAGATAGTAGCGCCTTTAACCCAGTTGACGAGGAAGGAGCAGTCGTTCATTTGGACAGATGCGTGTGAGCGGAGTTTTGATGAGCTGAAGAGGAGGTTGACTACTTCTCCTGTGCTGGTGTTGTCAGATTCTGGTGAGTCCTTTGATGTGTACTGCGATGCTTCTCACCAGGGTCTTGGGTGTGTGCTGATGCAAAACAGGAAAGTGGTGGCATATGCTTTAAGGC